GAGGGGATCCAAACCTCCTCCATCTCCTTCCCCTTCTTGCTCTTTGCATATCCAAACATAAGGAAGGAGACAGCCTCCCCTCCCTCTCCTTCAATTACTATCCGTCCCCTTCACTCCCCATCCCTCTCCGTTGGTCTCCCTCAATCCAAACAGGGTGTAAGTGATTAACCCGGAAACTTGGAAAAAATCGACTAAGTTTCGACAGCCAATAACTCCTCACAAGAACACAATTTAGGGTTTTTCAGTTATAAATGTAAAGACGTTAATTATCACACCTTTCGCACATCGCAGCAATGGACTTAAATGCCTGAATAAGATTCCTATCCGGGTTAGCGCCGCGACCCTGCCACTTGCCGAGGGAGGACGACAAGAAATCACCAGAAGCACCGTTGGGCCTAGCAATAACGGTAGAGAGGCCACCATTGGTGAGGAGAGGATTGATGGGGCCGCCAACACGAACGGGGTCATTATCAGAACTCTCGTTGGCGAAGGTTCGCCACTCGGAGGTTTCGTCAACCGAGTGAGCCTCGAGAACGAGACCGCACTCGGAGCAGATGGTGTCTCCGGCGGCGTGGTCGAAGACGACCTCGGTGAGCCTCTTAAAATCTGAGCAAAAGTTATCCGACATTTTAAGCAAACGTGCGGGTGCTTTCGCTTTCGATGTCGGTTGTGTTGTCCCCTCTTTCCCCTGTTTCCGTCTCTGTCTGTCTTGTCTTGGCGAATGGAGACTGGAGAGAGTAAGATTTGTTATTTGTAGGGCAAGGGCCAGTGCCAGCTTAGTGTCCAACTGGAAAAGGGCAATTTCGTGACTGGACCCTGAAGAGATTTCCTACAAACAAAGACCACAACATTTTAAAATTCTTTTAATTAAGGATATAACATTTTTTTCCTTAATTCACTTTTCAAAAGTTTTTGAATAAGAATAAGGTAAATGTGAATTTTGATATCTCAACTTTAAGGTTTTAAGCGAGTTTTTGTCCCTTAACTTTTTTAAGCACTTATTTTATCCCTCAATCATAAAAAAATGTATTTTTTAATTTTTTTTATTAATTAATCTGTTAAATATATCCATATATGCATATTTTTAATTCTTAAACTTTTAAGTTAATGGACGAAATAAGTTAAGAGACTGAGAATATGTATTTTTAGATAGACTTAACAAATTAATTAATAGAATAACTAAAAAATGTATTTTTTTACAGTTGAAGATAAAAAAATGCATAAAAAAGTTAAAAGACAAAAATTATATAAAACTTTAAAGTTGAGAAACTAAAATTGATATTTAACTTTAAAAATATAAACTTTATGACTTTACTAAAGAAGCATTAAATAGATGTGTACAATTATATCCTTGATTAAAATTTTTTAAAAGATGATAACCTTGATCAATAAAATTACAAAGGTGATATTATTGATTAAAATTTTGTGAAAGGTAAAAACCATAGTCGCCCCCTCCCTCTCTCTCACCCTGATTTTCTACTCTCTCTTGTTTTCTTCTTTCCTCTAGCCATTGTTGCTTCTCTTCCCCTTGACGGTTAAGGTGGATGACTAAAGGTGGGAGTTCCCTCCTCTTTTATGAGAGTTTTTCTCTTTTTTGCGGAGGTTTCTCCCTCTCTTTTGAGGGTTTTTTTTTCCTAGACTTTCTCAATATTTTTTATCAAGATTCGCTCTTGTTGAATGAGGATGGCAAGTTGAACATGATATTGATTGGATATAGATTAGTTGTTGTGCTTGTTTTGGCTATTGAAGGCATGGTTGGGGATGGGATCTCTAGTTAAACTTTTTTGTCTCAACCAATTTATCTTCTATTTATATGGATTGGTTATGGAATATAACTTAACTACTAAATCTCAAACTTGAGTCTGGGTATGATATTTATATAAGTATTAAATTATTTGATTTTGTTTTTTCACATGTTTTATGAGTATAACACCTATTAGGTATTACCCCATTTGGATTAGTTTTGTAACCCTTATGACTTTCATAAATTAGTGAAATTATATTTTTCAAAAAATTTCTAGAAGGTAGTAACTTTATGGACTTGTAATCCACAATCAAAAATTTGAAATTTGTAATGTTGCAAGTATAATTGAATTTTAAGTTCATTTCTTTCTCTCTCTTTCCTTTTTTTTTTTTTTTGTTGTATTTGGACAACGTTTAACATATTTTAAATAGAAAAGTCGTTTAAAAAGCATGACACAAAACTTGGGTAATCACAATATCTATTTTCTTAACAATGACGATATTGGATTCCGAGGAAAAAGTTTTGTGGGAAAAAGAGGAGATCAAGAGCTAGTTTCTAGTGTTTTAAGGATTGAAACAACAGTAAAAAATGTTTGAAAATTTGAGGTAAACCAAGCCAAATCCAACAACCATTTAAACATAAGATCTTGGCTGTTCTTAGCTTGACTTAGGTGTGCGAAAATTAACATAAAAAGAGAAAAACGAGCTATGTGATGTGGAATGTAAATAAGCAACTCTTTTGATTTCTTTTAACCCAAAAAAAAAATTCAAAATTACGTTTATTAAAACTAAATATAAGACCACCTCAATATCAATAAACAACACAATTTGCACAACAAATAGATTTTAAAGCAAAATTTAAGAAAGATTTAAGGTAAGAATCAACACCAAGAATATAATGGAGAGGGTTGGTAACTCACCTAATATTGTGGTGAACATCAAAGTTTCAAAGCTACCCCAAAATCCTTGCTAAATAGTGGAGGATGACAAGGTGAAATGAGTCGAGCTTAAGTGTGCTATATACTCTTTGGGTAAAGGTTTATGGGCCCTCAACAACTCGAGCTCAAGTTGTTAGAAATGATTGATATCAACACTTATATACCAATTATACTAATAGAGCATTGCAATATCGTTTACTTAAATGTACGGTGATCACAATTAGGACAAGGTATAGTACATCACAAGTACAAGATTCATTCCAAGTGGTGTGATGAGGTCTACACTACCACCGACTATGATGGTTATGTGCCTATTCCTATAAGAAGCAATCACTCTTTGGAAAAAGGTCTATCTCAGGTTGCTAGTAATGGTTAGTCTCAAAATTTATAGACCAACCACACCAACACTTCCACTCCAATGTAGTATTCAAGGCATTACACAAAGAGAGGGACGATAGAGTTTGCATGAAATAAGAAGAGTAAGATTATTGAGGTAAGCAGCTAGGTTTGTAGAAAAATGTAACTAGGCTTTTGTTTTTAAAAAAAAAAAAAATAGTAATAGTTGTCCCCTTTTAATTTTTGTAACTATTGCTTTATTACTTTGTAACTACGATTCTTTTAAATTTTTATAACTACCACTCCTTGTCTTTTCCAAATCTACAAATTAGACTCTAAACTGTAACACTCTCTAATCAAGTCTTCATAGCACTTTTGAATGTACAAAAAAAAATTTCGAGGCATTATAGCTAATTTTGTGCAATTATAGGTGATTCAGATGGCATAAGAGTAAGCAACTACATTTGTTGCCTTAGTGTTAATAGAAAGTGTGGTGCGTGGAAGATAGAGATTAAATGTTGGCGTACAATTTGTACAATTGGTTCTTGGCGCATGATTTATATTTTCGAGAGTAATGATATCTTATCTATTCACTACAGTTTTTGACCACTTGCCTATTATGGTGGAGATTAAAGGGGAGAGGGGTTCAAAATGGAGTGGGAAGAGATAGTTCCAATTTGAAGAAATGGGGAAATAGCATGAAGATTGTGAGAAGATGATTAGAGCACCTTATGATACAAGGATTGCATAACAGACATCTAATGCAAGAAATCAACAATTGTTAAGATATCTTGGCGGCATGGAATGAAGACTATAACTTTTTAGAAAGGTCCTAAAACAATTAGAAGCACTTGTTGATAAACAAGAAAAAAAAAAGAAAAAGAAAAGAAAAGAAAAGGCAATTGGAAGCACTCATGGTGAGTTGCTAAAAGTTAAAGTTGATAAATATCAAGGATAGGGAAAATAGTTAAAGGAACTCAAGAAGCAAATTAATGAATTGAATGCAAGAGAAGAAACAGTGTAGAGACATAAGTCTAATCAGAATGTGTAAAAGGAGATAGAAACACTATCTTCTTCTATAATCACTGAAAGAAAACCCTTTGGAACACTTAATTTTCGACGATGAGATATTGTGTTGAGATGTTGTAAGTATTGCATAGGCAATCGTAATACTTCATTTCACTGCTAGAAATTCTATCAAATTTCAGCACTTTCCCAACACTTAATATACAAGCATTAGTAAGTCTGAATTACGTAATTTAATCCCACATCATTTTGAAAGAATATGTTGTTTCACTGTTTAACTTTTAAATAAATTTTAGAGAATTCTAAGTAATTATTTTCAAATTTTCAAATAACTATAATTTTGAAGGAATATATTTATTAACTTATTTATTATTGTAAAACCTAAGGATCTTTGAAGGTCTACATGAATATTTAGAATTTAGAATTTACAAAACATTCATGAATATTTGAAACCTAATCACTTTTACTGTATATATCACAATAAGTGTCATGTTGTTCATCATACTCATTAATTTAAGTTTTGAATTTTTGATCCAGCACTCTATTATCATACATTCTTATAGGTCTAAGAATCAGTCCATAAGACACCAATATGGTAAGCTTTCAGAATCTCCGACACGGACGTGGTGTTGACACATAAATTTGGTGTCAACACCAAAAGGGCTATCTCACTGTTGTAAATTTATGCTTTTCAAGTTGAGATGTTTATGAGTTTGGATACCCCTTGTACTCCGTTTTTCAATAAATATTATTTTTGCTATTAAAAAAAAAAAACTTTCTTACCGTTAGCCAATCAAAAAATCTAATTACTAGAGTATGTTTTAGTTTAGATTTATGTGAAGTTTTGTAATTATAAAACATTTCTTATTTGCTTGGATTATTATAAAAGTGGTAAAAATTTGGTATTTGTTACTTATGTCTTACATTTATTGGTTAAAAAATAATTTAAAGAATTATTAAAATCAAAATGAGTGGTAATTGATTATTTTTTTTTCTAGAGTTAAAATCATTTATATTCAAAGAAATTATAAATTGTGTGGTTGATTGTATCCCATGTCGCTAAAAAATAATATATTAATTTATTAAAAGTTTTATAAATAGAAACATTTGTTTATTAAATTATAATTTATATTAGGTTTGAGGAGCTATATTGTTCCTTATTTAATTTACTTTTGGTTCATTTATACAGTTAATTTAAAATTTAATTTATTTAATTATTTATTTATTAAAAAATCATAATAAAAGGAAGAAAATTTGGGTCTAAAAAAAGAACAAACCTAAATACAATACCATTCAGCATTTTGTGTATTGAAATTATTATTTGTGACATCCTACATTATGATGATATTTCAACAGTTTAGAAAGCAACAAAAGAAATACTAGAAATGCCTTTTTGGGTATTGCAATTGGGATTTTTTTTAATGAGTAAGGCATCTTAAAGGAAAGTTAAGGATTGCATGACAACAATTATGGATGACAAGGGAAATGAGTGACAAAAAAAAGAAAAAAGAAAAGAGAGAGAGAGAGAGAGAGAGAGAGAGAGAGAGTAGCTAGTTTAATGTTATCACGTTGGTAGCCTTGATCAATAAATTTACTTCAAATTACAAAAATGAAAATCATTATTGAATTGGATATGTAAAAATCATAATACAATTCTCTATGTTAATAGTATAATTAATCAAATTGGATAATCTCATAATCTGGTGTTAGCCAA